AGATCTCACTTTAAGAATCACTGTGTTTTTCACATCGGCACAACGATCTTGAAAGTTGATGTATCACAAGTGGCAATAAACAGACATTCTCAACAATAGACTCCAATCTGTCACCAATACTGCACACTATAATAAAATGTATCTTGAGTTATAGTGTCGCAGGGGCAAGCACAAAAAAGTGACGTACTTCGAATGTGTTGTATATGAATTTGTCGTGTTCTGTCTGCTGACTATTCATTCACCTTTTTATTTTGCATACACAATTCCATATAGACAACTCGACTGAACATACAAAACTTATATATTTTCTTATTACTGTTTTTTCCGGATTATGTCTCAATTATTTATTAGTCGAGAACATGCCGACATTGATCGATAATTGAGAGAGGACTACCCTGAAGCGGTCTGATGAATATCGAGCGAACTTGAGACCGAACAGATCCCAACATCTGACCTACTTGAGTTTTTAGACTATGAATAATTAAATGGAAAAAATTGAAAAAAAGATCATAATTTTCTTTTACACAAAAGAATGAAAAATGCGCTGCATACTGGGTTCGAACAACGTTTTCAGAATGCGTCGCATGTGTCGTGCTGTCGCTGGACAGAATGTGTCGTACATTGTGCCGCAAAGTACGCCATATGCAATACATTTTTAGTGTGTATAGCAGATGATCTCATCTCGCAAGAGAGAATTTTTCACTTTCCTTTCGTTCAGATAAACATTGCGACAATGGCTCTTTATCAGAACTGAGCGTACTTGTATGACAGAAAATATTCACTTGAGGGTATAGGTATAGATGTGAGTATGCATGTTTGTGTGGAGCATATGTGTGAGTGTTGGTGAAAAGAAAATAAACACCCACACTCATCCATATCTCATGCCCACACCGCTTATCCACACTCACATTTACCCATTTCTCATACTCGACGCCACTCCATACCCATATTCATCCTATATTTGATTTTACAAAAAAAAATAAAATATGTTAGTTTTTATTTATCAAAAATAAGTTTATTTTATTGTTAAACAGGGGAACTTAATTTAATTTATTTAAAAATTAATTTTTAAAATTCATTCTTTTATACTTTTTTTACTAATTGAATCTATTATTTGGCTCCATTGTCTGAAGAGATAAAATTAAAACCGTCAACAGAAAGAACTTTTATGTTATTCTTTTTGATAAGTTTTTTTTGAGGTCTTCTTGAATAAAGTCAGTGTCAGGAAGGGTAGGTGATAATTTGTGCAGCTTTAATTTTTGTACGTGCCCTTATGTTCTGTTCACATTTAGAAGAGGTTAGAAATTCTTTCTCAATTGGCTGGAATAACTCACAAACCATATTTTTCTGTCTGTTGTCGTTTGTCATTCCGTGCAAAGGTAAAAAAATATTACCGTAGCCGGAATAAAAAGACTAACTTTATAAAATTGTTCGAATGAAATAAAGAGGTATTCCTATAGCACGTGCTCCACCGTTAACATGTGGAGCATTTTTTCTATGAAAAGATGCACCAGTTATAATGATACTATTAATTAACGGTGAAGCACGTGCTAAGGAATACCCTACCACATCAAGCATTGCTCATTCGTAACACTTAGTACTATGTTTATGTATACAATGGTTGCTTGTTAAACATGAGTACTGATGTTGTCCATTACTGACGTTATTCAGAAATAGGACCATCTTCTTGATACATATATTTTCTGAAGTGTTAATGTATAGTGTGTTATTATTTATTTAGACGATCTTCGTAGGCTAGCATGCAATCAATAAAAGATTACACCGAAAAAAACCCTTCACTATTGCTCAATCTGTAAAACATCGACTCAATAGAATTGGCGACTAAGAGTATTTTTTTTATTCTTGTATGTCATGTACATAACTCAGAATTCTTCTGATGAGATTGTTGAATGAGCCAACCACCAGTCACTTTGAAGAAACAAATATGATACATTTTCACTACATTGATAATTTGAGTAATTGCTTTTTCAATCATTACATTGAATTGTATTAAATTCGGTTCATCTATTCGACATTGTATTCTCGTTACATTTGTCGATGTACAAAGTAGTTTCATACTGTTCATCTGTTTAGGTATAAATATTTGGTGGAGCTTATCCTTTTCTTTTCCAAATAAAGTAAATTCATTTTTTTCTTAGTTATTCAAGAATGAATTGTCATTTATATCAGTCTAAATTTTGTTGCTCGAGAAGAAGTCATGGCTAAAAAGCAACGATCAATTTGTTAAGAGGATATTACAGAAAAAGCTTTTATTTTTCATATTCTCGAATGAAAATAGAGTGAGAAAAACATTGAATATCTTTTCAGAGATATTTCGCGAACAAAGTTTAATATCGAAAGATGACTCTTCAATAAAATACAGAAGTACCTTGATAAAGGTTTATTTCAGCTTGTTACCGTTGATTTGAGCTACGTTGTTGCTATACAATGATATATGATGTAAAAGTAAAGTTAGAAGTGCTGGACCCTAGTCTCTTCAATCAAATCGTACTGAAAGAGGGTATGGGTGAGTGTGACGGTATGGATGTTCTTTTCATCAATACTCATACCCACACCCACCCACACCGGCGCCTACCCTCGCCCGTCCCGGTAACTTTTTTTCCATTAGCCTCAGTGGTAGTTCTGGTGAATCTGATCTATTCTTGGTTCCGATTCGATTTCGCCCGTTTGCTTTTTCATTGGTACCGATCCCGATGATTTCAGTTTCTTGAATACCGACCTAATAATACTACCTGTGGTGTGGTTTAAAGTAAAAGATGTCGAAAATAAAAATGAGGAGTGAAGACAACGACGTAAGAGTGAATGAAATTTCTACTCAATACAGTTTCATTTCTATAAACAAACTTAGCAAATCTGCAATCATTGATTGAGCAGCTTCTGTGAAAATCGGGCGTGGCTTATGCAGAATAGTTCTTATATCACTCTTTTTATTTAATCTGAATCATTTAAAGAAAATGAAATTTTCAAGATAAGAATGAAAATTCATTATAAAATTCTGATTAACATCAACGATATAAATATTATGTATTTGTTATTTTATCTGTACACAGAATTTCCAATTTTATTATATCATATTCAATGACACGGTTTAGTAAAACAACAATTTTCAATTAAAAATTGACAACGAGTAGATTATTGTAGACGACTAAATATAAATATGAAATTTCATATAGCCACTTGTAAATAGTACAGACTAATATGTCGATATAATATATGCAATAATCCCATACAAGAGATCAAACATCATTATAAAATGAAAAAAGATTTTAAATAAATAAAATCAGTTGCATTACCATATCACAATATTTTTCTATTTGGATACAAATATTTTTGATTAGTAAATGTATTTGATGCGAAAGGATCATCAAAACTGGATACATTTGAGCATCAAATTTATGATTATCAGCAAACCAATTAGTACATGAGCAAATAGAATTACATAAAATAAAATGAGAAAAGAGCTTATTCACATACGGCAAAATAAATGGCAGAAAGAGAAGGACAATACAGAGCAAAAATCGTGATAGCAATGCTGTTCAAATTTTTTTGGACGGTCTCAATCTATTCTTTCTTTGATGATGTTCAACAACTTCACAGGACATTTCGTTGTATTTACTGTGCTAAACGGATATTTGTTATGATTTTATTTTTGAATCTAGTTGACGATATTAATACAAATTAAACTGTTGTTTTGCAAAATCTTTCGCCTGGTCGTGAGATGTTGCTGTGTGCAACAAATTTTATTTTATATTTGACATTTTTCGATGTCGTATATTGTGGTAATGAGACATCATCTAGAAGTTTTCTAAATTATTGGGATCATATTGATCAAATGATACCAATATTATTTCGTACAATTTCATGAGCTAATTAAGATTCAAGATAAACCCCTTATCTACTGAAGATACACCGTCTATTAATCATAGGGGTATAACATTCTATTATTCATTTCACAATAAATAAGTTTGGAGATCAATTATTTATACTTTTCACGATTAAAAGACATTGTTTTCTTTTATTTAGACATTATAAAACACAATATATATCCATCGATTACAGTCACCAATACGTGGTAATCCATAAGAAATTCGTTATCTTCTGAGAGAGTACAAAATTTAAGTCTTTTTCCTTTTAAAAGTAGCTACTTATCCATACAATTGATCATATACTTTGAAGTAATTATTTATATATGAAAAGTAACATCAACACATTAAAATTTCCTTAATAATTTTTGCTAATGTTGATAACGTATTGAGTGATATAAAAATAGTCGACTTTACTTCTATAATCACTTGATAAAAAAGCCAGAACAATTTATGAGTAAGACTCAATTTAATTCTTTGTAATTATTTCAAGAATCCGTTTTTATTTAAACACTATCGTGAATGATAATTGTGATCTAATTGTTTTAAACAATATTATTTTATTAACGTTTCGTTCACGTTTCTTTTATAGATTCTATTATCATTTCAAATGCAAAATCTCAAAGGAAGACCTAGTAGAAAAAAAGTTGAATGTCATCTTTTTATAATGAACAATTTGTAAACATATTAACAATTTATGATTGTTAATTGGACTGAAGATGATACCAGATCATGTAATATAATAGTGATAGCTAATCAAAATAATTTCTTTTTACTTATTAATCAAAACCATATGAACATTCCACAATCATCATCATCAAGAACAATAAGCAACTCTTCATTGCATGACAAAACAATAATGCGATTTCGTAGAAATTTGATAAATAAAGAGTATTCCCAATAAGCCAAATCAATGTCATAATCAATGACATCCTAACGACGTCGAAAACAAAAGTCAAAGTCAATGACTTTCAATGCTGTCGTTGCAATAATTTCGCTACTTGTATCATTTGTTGGATTACGCATATCATACAAAAGCACACGTGACGAGTTTAACAGCGGTAAAGTTGAGAGTATATGTAAAGCGATCCAATCATCACCTGTAAAACTAATGGATTAATAATGAAGAATAATTTGAATAGATCGAATATTTGTTGCAATTGACCAAGTATTTAGTGCATTAAGACTGTCTATAAGAGTAAGATGAGTAACCATCGGTAAATTGAAAGAAATTTGACTATCACATCGAAATAAATGAAGTTCAACTATTTGATTCCAAGACATTACATGAGAAAGAAGAGTAGCAGATGATGGAATATTGTCTGACATATTCAATTTAACAAGACGAGAAGAACCAATTGTATTAGCCGGAGAAGATGATGTAAATACTTGTAATTCATTAATATATCTATCAGGAATACATAATTGAAAAAATTCATTAAAGATCCATGGCAAAGTATAATATAGATGTTGTCGATTTTTCAGTTTTTTTCACTAAAAAATAAATCAGTCAGATTCAATGAAAGAGTCTGTTTACTGTGGAAATGATCGATAAAAGTTATACAAAGGGTGATAACTTACATAATAGTCGTCAGGAGTTGTGAATGGTTGATTATCAGGCCAATAATCAGAAACAAATGTTGCAGTAGCTATTTCTTGTGGATGAGATTGACTACCACGGTACATATTTACTAAGTTCACTATGTAATCGATTGTCATCGATAATGAATGCAAAATGAACATCAACATGACGATAATCAGTGAAAAATTCTGAGTGATTCATTTGATTCAGATCATCAGCATTAATAACAATAGAAAAATTCATTCGTCGTAAAATAGGCATAATATTAGAAGAAGTCAAAATATCAAGAAATGTCCATTCTTCTCCGAAATGCCATTTAAATGGTTTGACAAAAGTAAATGTATGCAAGGCTTTCACTCGACATAAAAATTCTGTATCGGATATATCATAATGTGAAATAGTGTATGCATCATTCACTTTTACGTGGAATTGCTGCAATGGATGTCGTAATGGGTGCGTTAACATAAGAACAATTAGAAGGTCTAGTCCTGTCAATGTAATACGAAGGTATGTCAGAGGTGTTCGTATCGTTTCTAAAAATCGACGGTTCAGGGAAAAAGATGATTCCACTCCGAAGTCAAGCGAACGAAGAGCAGGTAGACATTGAAGAACTTTCTTCATGAAACCCTCAAAAGTCTCTAAATTCCATGACACAAGATAAGGTGCGTTTGTCGAACCAACCTATATATGAAATAAATAAAGATGCAAAGAATGTATACAATATAGTAATTGAGAGTTGAACTTTTTCCTTCCCTTATCCAAACTTCAGACAATAGAAATTCACCATGAAAAGAAAAGAAACGTTTGAGAAGTGTGGATCTTCCTAGCTTTTTGGCATATGTACAAGAGTCAACTTTTCGTAAGTTTTTTTTTGTTTATTTGACATTAATTCTTTCAAAACGTGTAGAACAAAGCATCTAAACCATACAAAAAAAGTTAACATTACACTGAAGAACTAAGGATTAATTACATATTAGTTCTCAACCGGTTACGCATATGTCAGCGTCCAATCTCGAATTCTCACTTTGGACTAGTCCAATACCGGATTGTGGTAGCATTTTTCATTAAAACCTCCACTCCTCCCTTGATAATGGTAGGATTCGTTTTTTTTTCTTGGGGAGCTGTGCAAAAGCAATGCTATTCCAGATAATAAAATTGTTGATGAAGCAATTAAAGCAGGACTCAGGAAGTTATGGATAAGTTTTTATAGGATAGCAGCTTTTATGGAAAATTATTCATAAATGTTCGAGTCCTTACTAGAGATGTGCAGGATAAGCTTTTTTCGTACCCTGTACCCTGATCGAGAGGACTTTTCTTACCCTGACGCTATCCTACCCTACTCTGTAGAATATCTATCCTTATCTTTCCCTATGAAGTTTTTATCTGTCTCTCACTTAATCTGACACTCTAGCTGAAAGACTGTAAAAATGACGGATAATTAAATAATATGACATTGTTCCTATTTATTTCACTCTTTATAAATCTGCATAAACAAATCGCTCGGTACTATTTTTAATAAGTAATTGATCGATACTGTTTTCTATCAGAAATCAATTTTAGATAATTGTAATTGATGTCATATAAAAAAATAGATGCAAGCAAATCGACCGATATTTTCTATCCACCGACCATTATTATATCAGGTGTCACGGCTCACTCTTTGTCAATTCATTTGAGTAATGACACTTAAAAGATATCACGCAAAAAGCCCATCGGTCTCAAGTCCCTGACAATAACCGAAAACTCCCACAACAACACACATGTGCTGCAACTTCCGTGTTTCTTTTGGTTTGGACCTATTAAAATATACTCGATTCTTAACCTTACCGTATCGTACCTTGAAAAATTCTTACTCTGACCCTACCCTGCACATCTCTACTCTTTACTTAATTCCTTCATTGATAGTTGCAATACCTGAGATATCATTGTCTCAACACATTTCACCAATAAGGATTACAATTCAACGTGTATCTAGGGACTAATGGAGGTTTTAAGGAAAACTTTTTCTCCAATCCAATATTGAACTGGTCCAAAGTGAGATCTGAGATTCAACACGAACATATATTTGAGTTGGTCATAACTAATAAGAATACGACTCTGCCATCGAATATATCTGATCTATTTCGATGAAAAGTCAAGTTTGGTAGCATCAGCTTCGATTAATTCTTTCTTTCGAAACAACTTTTTTTTCAGACATGCTGTCTCAAAAAACTTTTTTTCTAGTATCATTTTATATACCAAAAACGAATAAAGTGTCAAATAATAATATACAAAACATTTGTATTTCTGTATTTTATACATTCCATTGACTGCTCTATAGATTGTATTCATTTCCTATTAAAGTCATTTCTAAATGCACTTACCCTACAACAATAACTACTTGATTCAACTGTACGATGAATCAATGATTTGGCATGTTGTAATATAAAATGGCAAATATCAAAATAATCAGGCAGACCCTTTACTCGTAATGTTTTCAAATGAGGTAAATAAGGCCATTTACTAAGTTGCAGAGATGATGCATAACAATCAATGACAAATGAATGTATTCCATTTACACGAAGTAAAGATAAAAGTGTTTGGAATTGATAATATCGAATAGATGATAAATTGACATTGCGATAGAAATCTCGCTCAAGTAATAATGTTGTCAGACGAGTATTGAATTCACTGAATGCTCATAAAGCATCTACACGAGATAGATAAGAAAATATTTCGATTAATGATAGATCAGGTAAATCATTGAAGAAAATGACCATTGTTATCAAGTGAACAAAACGTCAAATGGTAATATGATTTCGCCTTTTTATAGCGATATATAGAATATTTCATCGTGGACAATCATGACACATTTCTCTCTCCTCTTTGTAAGTGTTCATATACGTAATAAAACTAAAGCATTCTCAAAAATAAAATTTCTTTCTTCTTTTAGTGTGTTGTGTGACGAAAAAAAGCATGGCAAGAATCACTTATTGACTCGATGATACACTACCAGTAGCGATACCTAGTTCACATCCCCACATCAGGAGAAAAAAATATGATATATTCGACATGAACATTTGTTATCTATACAATTTGAATAATTTTTATCCTATCAAAAAGACTCATGAATTCAATAAATTCTACTGATCTTTGATTCATATTTATTAATTTAGCCTTCAACACTTTCAACAATCAAAATCAAATAACCAACACATGATAGTTATTCTTATTTAACTACAAATTCATCATCAACAAGAGTAATGATCGAATCTCATGCGGAACCATTAATAAATGATAATAGTAAACAAAAACTGCCTCAAAACCATGCATCAAATAAACAATTACTTAAACATTCTGTTCAATTTATCTCTAAAGATTTGCGTGTATATCTTGAACTAATTATTCACAAAATGAGCGCCTGTGTAGATTCCCATCCGTTTCGGCAATCAGTAGATTCAGTTGCTCTTAATATTCTTGATAATTCAACAATAATTAAACATCCGATGGATATATCAACAATGTATAATAACTTATTACATGGAAAATATAAAACTTCATTAGAATTTTGTAATAATGCACGGCTTTATAATAAGAAAATTACACGTGTTTATACAGTGTGTGTACAAAATTTTCGGAAGTATTTGCTGAAGCGATTGATCCTGTTGTGCAAGCATTATGTTATTGTGATGGCCGTCAATATATTTATCAGAAGTTATATCTTGTTATAGAAATCAATTAGGTTGTCAAATACTACGGGATGGAAATTATTATTTTTATAACAATCCTGAACCATCACGATTAAATTTATCCGGTGATAAATATATATTTTGTGCTAAATATTTGAATTCAGTTAAAAGTGTTTCAATACTTGTTGTTGATGATCTAACTGAAATATTAGTCGACATACCGAAAACATTATTTCTACCCGCTAAAAATGACATACAAAAGCCTGAAAAAATGATTGCTTGTATTGTTTGTACATGTAGTTGGCCTCAAATATGTGCATTACATTTAGATCAAATATGGCTTGAACGTTTTATATGTAATATGTATATACGTGAATATAATATACAAGGTCAAGAAAATCGTTATGTGGCACATAGATTAACAGTAACTAATTTAGTATTACAATTAGAACAACGTGTTAATGATTCTTTACATAATCAAGGTTGTCATAGAGGTCGTGTTACAATTCATATATTAGCTGCTAGTGATAAAATAAGTGAAGTGAAACCACGTTGAAAAAAAACATCATCCAAATCAAGTATTAGATGGTTATCCATATCGAGCAAAAGTTATATTTGCATTTCAAGAAATTGAAGGCGTTGATGCTGTTTTTTTTTGGTATGCATGTGCTAGAATTTGATGAACATTGTCCAGCACCAAATACACGACGTGTTTATATATCTTTTCTTTTCTGGATTTCGTAGATTTCTTTCAATCAGCAATTTTTCGTACGTGGATTTATCTTGAGACTATAATCGGATATTTGGATTATGTTAAACAGCTTGGATATGTTTATGCTCATATATGCGCATTTCGCCAAGTGAAGACTCTGATTATATATTTCATTGTCATACAGTTGAACAACATGTACCAAAACCAAGATGTTTTCAAGATTAGTTTGAAAAGATGCTTAACAATGCCATTGTAGAACGCGTCGCTATTGATTATAAGGCAAAGAATATGTTCAAAATTAATACTAAATCTTTGTTAATTTGAACATTCGTTAAGAAAAAAAAGAAACATTTCCCATTGAATAATTCTATCAGACAAATCATTGATCATTTATTTTAAGACCTACTCAGAGAAATCGAAATTGAGATAAATACATGCAAAAATAGTGTAAGATTTGATCTTTCATAAACGAGATCATTTTTATATGGATACACTAGTATCAGTAGAACAACTACAGGATATAAAACTACTCGTACTTATCAGTACTTTTCTTGCCGAAATCTAATATGATAAAAATACTAGCAACTACATGGTGGATGTGGGTGGGTGTGAGCATCCGTGTGCGGGTGTGGGTGACTGTGCCAGCAGGAAAGTATCCACACTCACACTCTTTCCCGAAAAATGGATTTTTAAAAACTATCATGTGCTCTAACAAACGCGTTCAAAGGGGTGTTTCAGTTGGCATTTTAAGCTGAAGAAGCGCAATGTAAATAAAAAAACTGTTTAACACGTTGAAATAAAGCACAATGAGTTTGAACGCAATAATAGCATTTTTTTGCTGAAAGTTACCGTTGAAACGCTATGATGTACAATTTTTTTTATAGATTACCCTTTGAAAAATGATTAGCTAATGACCGATCTGCGAATAATTCTTCTAAGGTCGACTTTACTTTTTCTGTCCATTGAGTTTTTGCACGAATACATTCGATTGATGCTTGAAACTCAACTTTGGGACTTCTCTACAAAATGTAAAGTATTACATTGTAACTTCTGAATTGATTCAATGAAAATATTTTGATCAAATACTTGTTCATCAATTTATATTTACTATTTCAGTATGCAAAGAGAAACATTTCTTTCTCTTCGAATATTGACCAACACTGTTGTTGAATGCTTTGCCAAGTTTTCTTTCTAACTTGAAAGAAAAAAGGATATTAAACAATATAACTCGATGAACATCCTAATTGTGATAAGACTATGTTAGAAAATTTTGGATTATTGTACATTGAAATAATTATATCAAAGTACTGTTAAAACTTTTTATGTTTAATTTCAATGTAAGTGAATTTTTCAATGCATTATGTTCGATTATCTTAGTTAAACATTTAGATTACTCTATTTCAGAAACAGAATGATATATAGAAAATAATGTAACACTCGCCATTCCAAGATAGTAAAAAGTTAACAAAATTCTTACAGTTTAGTCAAGTGTTTCAAACTAGAGAAGTAACATTCCTTGTCCTTTGAGAGTCTTGTAACATGCGTGATTCTGCATTTAAGGATGATCACTCATATTTTTTAAATATAAAATTTCTCAGTTTCAGATTTTTTCTGCAACGATAGAAGACAGTTTCAAGCTTCTTATTCTTCTGAAAAAATTACTCCTAATACAGCAACTACAGGTACCCCAAAAAGTATCCGGACACTCTCATGTTCTTTTTTTGTATTTCGTGGTTGGCGAAACAGAAACAAGAGATACATTTTTTTCTTCGTTGAAATATGATGCCAACCGATAGAGCTCACTTTCCTCGTTGTAGCGGCGTGCAAATAATATAAGTCTGATGTCAGAAAAGCGGGCACCTATCGTATTGGAAAATTGAACATTTTCATGAGAAACGTTCTCGTAATTCGAGATGATAGTGAAAATTGCTGATTTTTATAGAGAACTTAGTACGAAGTAAGGACTATCCATTAGTGAAATAAGAAAAAGTTTATCCCTTGTTTCTGTTTCGCAAACCAAGACACACGGAAAAACATGGAAATGTCCGGATACTTTCTGGAGTACCTATACTCTGATAAAGACCTATATATTAGCAAATTTTCAGGGCATAATTCGAAAATGTAACTTTATCACAAAGTAATGTCCCTATAGAGTCTTAGAAGAAAGAATCCATGAAAAACTCAATAATTCAGTCACAATTCAACATCACCAAGAATTCTTTAAATATTGACTTTATTCTAATGAATCGTTACTATTCAAGAAAACATAGAATGAATAACGTTTAATCTTCTAAGCTTCGTTTCCACGTAAGAATCTCTTCTGAAATAGGCAAAAAAGAATTTTTTGTAGATTAGTCAAAGTTCATGGGGTTGACAATATATCAGTTAACTTTTTTTCATAAGCATAAAGATTTGAAACTATTCTCTAACACCAAAGAAAAATTCAGCTCCTTTAATTGAATCATAGTATGAAATAATCAATTTTTGCCTTGTTAGATGAATTCTACGATATCATGAACAAATTCATTTTGATTCGTCGATAAAAATGTCAAAGATAAAAATTCAAATCATAATATATTTTATATCTTTTTGCAAAAAAAAGAATGTTGTAAATATTTCGATACAGTTAATAGATCAAATCAGAATTATACATAGAGGTCGAAATTATTCCAAATTCGAAAGTACTTTATGTGATTGATGATTTTTAGTTATTCGATCATTTGAAAATTACAAAGATGACATAAATTTTACCGATAAAATACCATTTCGGGTTCAACTATGCTTCTTGTGATCAGTAAGTATTAAGAGACTCGCATCTATGTTTCATCGCCATATTGTGAAACTATTTGAGAGTACAAGCATTTATTCCATTGAAAAATATTCTTGATGACAAAACAATATAATTAATATGTATTTTATAAGCTTTGACAAGCAAAGAGATTACACTTGAACAATTACATGAAATTAAATGCAAGATTCAATGTTCAGAATTAAATAATGTGTAAAGAAAAAGTTAGATTTGTTGAATGAGTACATTTTTCTTGGCTTCAACAAGTCTGGCCAATTTGAAAGCAAAGTTAACCATAATTATCTGAAAAGGAATTGAAGTATAATATTAAGAAAAAATAAATGAGGTAGAATACTTATACTTACTGTAAAAATGAAAACACTAATACATATAAGAAAAAAAATGAAAACAAAGCTTGAAAGACCAACCACAGCGCCCTTGATAACGGCTTTGTCAACAGAATTTAGAGCAGTTGAAGTGACAGGAGTTGAGTTTGAAAATGAGGTGACAGCAGTTGAGTTTGTAAATGAGTCCAACTCAATTAAATTTAGAGCAACCAAAGCAACGCTTGTAAGAGCTAAACTTGCGAGAACACCCATGAAGACAATTACAAGTACAATACTCATGCCAACAAGCATGATCACACCTAGCCAAGCGAACTAGAAGTCGAAAATTTAAACAAATCAGTTTTAATTCGAACACTCCGTTGAGATAATATTCATTTAATAACTTTTCTAAACTGGTTTCAGAAAATACCAAACGTCAATGAGTGTATTAAAGACTTTGACAATCGACAAAATTGTCAAATGTCGCTTTTCTAAGTTTTTTTGCATAATCCTATGGCACTAAAACCCAATAGTTTTGTCTATGTTTTACACATTAAAAGATGGTGAAGATTAATACAATAATAATTTTTTTGCCGAATTTGATAATACTATAGGCCGCTAGATAAACATTCCTCAGGCAGACAAGTAAACAAGAAACACCCTGAGTTATACTGTTTAAACAGTGTATAGTATGTCCTCAAAAATGTGTTAATCATACTTTAAAAACGTTTAGTTGTTTAACATGTCTGTACCAATTTATAATCGTCTTTTGAGACATATCAAGCAGTGTTAACAGTTTATATGTTTTCAATGTGAACCTGTTTTAACAATCAGCAAATACTTCATGTCAGCCATAGAATATAAAATAGTTTCGCTAACAATGAAAAGACTAAGTAAAATAATACAAATGCTTGATATCGCACTTTCAAAAAGCATTTCATAGATGCTCATCTGTGATTGATACGAGACCAAGACTTTTTCGGAGGATGAGGGCGATGCTGGACAGAAAACGCATTTCAAGGCTCATCTGAGGTAGCATCAAGTCATTTTTCATTTGTTGTTCTCAGAAAAAGTCCTCAAGATTGGGCACGATCGCTCTGTCACTTCTCTCAATCCGATATTGGTGCTACTGCAGTTCATCGGCGCTGTAGAAAAACAAGTCTAGTATTATTTATATGTTTCATTACTTTTTTTTTTTTGAAAAGTAAAGGTTTCTTGATTTTGTTACACTTTGTTTTTAGATATTGGGTGACTATTAATAAAAATTCCGTAATTAAAAGACACTGATGTAAATGAAAAACAGAAATAGACTGAAAAACGATTTTCTATATAGATATTTCTGTACTATAAAAGACGACTCAAGTTCTAGCAATAAAGCATCAAGTCAGTCTGTGTGTTGCTTTTTTTTTGACAGCCTAACTTCTAAAATTTTCTTGAAATGAAACATTAGGAAATGATAAATAGTATTTAGCCAATCAAAATTGATTAGTAAAAAGTTATCAAAATAAAAATGAAATCTGTGTTTAAAGCTAAAAATAATCAAGCTGTATTACATTTTGCATAAAATATTTTGATGCAGATTGTGTGATATAGTAAGTATGCAATCATGGTATTTTCTCTAGTGCAGTGTTCCGGCACACTATGGAGAAGTCCCTCTTGTTCTCTTCTGTTTTTCTCACGATGTTTTTCTCATCCTATGTTGGGATATTCCATCGTGACATATATACAGT